ATCCCTTCAAGAACTCTCTTTTTTTCGCGCAAACAAAACGGCGATAGCACGTCGATAGGACGTCGATGCACTTTGGCGTGCCAGAAATTCTTTCAATTCTCAACATTGTAATTCAACCTGATGGAAACGACGATAAGAGTATAACGTCAACCGTCTTCGCGAGTTCTCTTATCTAATAGTAGAAACCAATGCACCGAAAGCCAAAGATATCTGATTTTAGGAAATCTTCCACAAAACAAAAAAAAAAGAAAAGAATGTATAAAATTTTTAATTCAAGAAAAATTTTTCACATATTAGAATGTGCGTGTGTGTCTTTTAAACTGATTATATAAAATCATTAGAAAATTGCCCATTCGTGGAATAAATAATTATTGTTATTTACATTGGAAAATCAACTGTTTCAAATCGTATTTCAACTTTTTAATAACAACAACTGTTAGATTTAATATTGGTAAGAGTAATGTTGGATTAAAATCGTAATATCGATGTTTTTCTTAGTATTAGATTCAATAAGCATTGGAATAATATAAAACTACAATCAATCAGCAGCATAAATAATACAATGATGAAATATCCTTAATATAAATTAATGAACGTGTATGGGTCGAATAATAATTGGTTTATTAAAATTTATAGATTCATCATAATTTAATCAGATTTAAAATTACATTTTGGTTAAGTTATAATGTTTGTTATCAAATGTTTATTTAAATATTATTTTATTATAAATTACATTTAAATTTACACAATGTTCAATTATGTCATTACAAATTTATGAAATTCTTGATCCATACAAATAATTAATAATTTATTACACACATATAGAAGTGATTTAATATTTTTGTTGTAGGTATAATAACAAATTTTTGCACAACCATATGTATATTTGTATTGTAAATTTTTCTCTGAAAAGTAAAAAAAATTTGAATGTATAGCTGAAAGAAGTTTCCGGTTCTAAAAGAATCAACAAAATTCAAAAGAATTCTTAGAATAGCTTATTCAAACAACGATTAAATCATTCTATAAAAAATGTGAAGTTTCGAGTCTTCTGATTTATCAATTACGGATGTTATTAATCACATCAATATGTAAATAATTTAATATGACGAAAAATAAGGTATAGTGTGTACGTGCATTATCGCAATAACATATATGCATAGACGGGCAAACGTAATTGTATTTGTGGTGAAAAACGTTTTTTCGCAGAATAAGTAATCACAAATGTTCAATTAATTGAGAAAATGTTAATAATTGTATTATTGAATATCAATATGAATTCACATATAATTGACATATAATATGGAAATTCCATTCACTAATAAATCTTAAATGATTTTCACTTTCTCATTTCCGAGCATTCGTTAAACTTATGTGTTACATATGTATCAACTCCTTTTTTTTACACTTTAGACATTTTTTTAACGGTTGGTTGAGAAAGATAGAAATAGAAGTGAAAAATTTTATAGTCGAAAGCTCAGATTACAACTAAACTGGAAATATTAAATATAAAATAAATAATCATTCGAATTATTGCTAATTAATTCAACTTAATTAATTTTTTTTTCTTTTTTTTTTTTTATTAAGATAATGATTTTAATACAACTTTAAGATAATAATTGATAAAGATAGAATTATTGTTTAAATTTATAAAATGAAACACAGCGGAGATTATTTAAAAAAAAAAAAAAAAAAAAGAAAAAAAAAAGCTTAAAAAATAGTATAAAAGTGAATATCTAAAAATAAATAAATAAATTGTACGCTAAATCTATTATATTATTTTCTCATTCTATATAAAATTATTCATATTAGTGGATATAAATATTTAATGTAAAATCGTATTTATAATTGCATTATTAAATAAGCCATGACGTTTAAGTAAAAATGCTGATTTATAAGAGTCAATTATGAAAATTGTTATAACATATTATGAATTCTGAAATACTAATAATACATTTTATCGTATATGATAATAAAATAGAAATTTAACACATAAACTAATTATGCACTTTTAGTAGCTTCAAGGTAATAATTAAGATAAAAGTTCGCTCGGTACTACCGAGCTCGGTATAACCGTAATCTTATCTTTGCATTTTCAAATCATTAAGTGTACTTACTACTAGTTTAGTTTTTTTCATTCAAATTTGTTATTATGATACATTTATTATAAAATCATATCAATAAATTTATTATTAATGCAGTTAATTATTTAAAGAAATAACATGAATCTTGCCGATGTTTTTCTATAAAAAAGTTATTCATAAAATAAATAGAATTTGTATATAAATACTATTTACTTGTTTTTATGTCATATTATTTATAAAATGTCAAAAATAACAATGTAATTGCTTTAATTTAATTAATTTAATTTATTTATCTATTTATTAAATAAAAAATTAATACTTTGTTTAATGAGCTATTATACAATTAAAAAAAAAAAATTTTATTTTAAAAATATCATTAGTTATCAGATAATATCACTTTCGGTTAATAAGTTCCTAATTGAAAGTTTTTATAATAATTATTGCAAAGTCAGATTATGATTTAATGGGTATTTAAAGAGAAGAAAAAATTACAATTTCAGTTACTTTTTTGTGGTCTATTTACATCAAGATTCGAGCAATATTAATCCGATTAAAATTAAATTTGCTGAAAGATTCAATTATTAAAAGAAAAATTTTATGTATTAATATGTATGCTAGTCTATTGATTTTTCTTTCTCATATATATGTTTCTATAATTAAAATGCGATAACTGCTACTGATAGCTGTAAAGCACATCTCTACAAAGAATCATTCCTTTTACTGTCTTATTATTTACAACTATTATTTCTAAAAGGATGGAAAATAAAACTTTTTTTCATATCAACATAATATAATCTTACATGAAAATTTTGTATATAATTAATTATTTGCGTTGAATAATAAGTAATATTTAAACATCCCGTAATTGTAATTTCTTTTTATAATTCATCGAGTAAAATTCATTTATAAATCATAAGTCATATTTTCAAACGAATTACCCATCCTCCTAAAGCAAACACGTGTTTCCTACGATGGAGGCAATAATATACCACTCTTACGTTAACTGTGCTCTCATAATTGCCAACATCCGAGAAATAAGACTGACTAAACATGATAATATATTACTTTTTTATTGTTATAGACATAACTGATATTTATACCTATGATTGTCAATATATATATATATATATATATATATATATATATATTCATTTAATATAATTACAATGGTCATTGTCTTTAGTTTTGCTTTAGAAAAAAATTTGATTGTCATTGATCAATATTAGATTTCTATATTCATATATATATATATATATATATATATGATTATAAATTATAAATACTATAAAAAAAAAAAAAAAAAAAAAAATATATATTGATTTTTACATTAACATGTGTTTTATTCATTTCATTCTCATCCAATATTTAGGGAATTAACATTTTATTACTATATTAATTTTCTCTTATTCTTTACTTTCAGATGTAATAACTAATTCTCAGCTGCATAATTATATTTATTTAAAAGTCGATATTAACCTGCTTTTATAAATAATAAATTAACTTGCATTTTTATTAAAAAGTAATATTTAATAACTCTATTTAAAACAATATTTATAATTATATTTTATCTTGAAAATAGTATAACAAAATATGTATTGTTATCGTAAATATTTAGATGCTGATGCTCTTTTGCATATTTTTTTAACAAATTATTTGTAATCTTTATGTTTAGATTTTTACGTATAGATTCTTTAGAATAGATTTTTCAAGTATTTAATAATTTTTACTATACCAACTAAATAAACCAAATTTATATCTCACTCAATGAGCTACATATATATATATATAATTATATGTATGTAAATTGTATTTTACATGGTAATTGTTTATGAATTGGACAGTAATCATACTGATATAATTTTACCTAACTTATTCATTTTTAGTTTATTTTTCTTATCAGCTAAACATTTCTATTAGAAACTCTATTTTAATGCTCAAAAACAAATTTATTTCTAAATGAATCTTTCTCTATTTTCGAATGAATCGATGTACTTTAAAATATAATTATCAGTTTACTGATAGGGAATATGTTTATTTACGTAGCCCATCGTACGTAATCTTGACTTCTCCATAAAAGGAAAATGACGAATATTTCCCAATTGTTTCAAATATTAAATTAATTAATAATATGAAAAGTGAATAAAAATTGAATGACTCTATTTATTATTATATTTTAATTAAGGAGAATAATTGGAAATCGATGGATAATCCATATATTATGAAAAAAAACCAAGGATTATCTATAATTTTATCACATATTCATTTCAGCTTTATTAAAATAGATTCATAATTTTCATTATATCAATTATCATTGATATTTAACAATAGTAAATATAAATTAACATAAATTTTGGTAGATTTAAGAATCTAATTAAATATTAAGAATTCTCATTATTATAGTCCAATTCATTATAACATTATAACACGAACAAATTATTTTTAATTTCTTACTGATTCATCCATTGTTTTAAGTAAACTGTAAAATAAATATCATTTCTTTGCAATTTCTTAATAAATCAATCAATCTTCAATTTATCAATAATCACAATTATGAACAAGAAATCAATTAATTTAATTCTTACAGGTATTAATATTACTATAACTCAACTATATCGGAATAAAAGATTTACATTAGAGCGATTAAAGTAATATTGTAAGAAATTCTTAATAATTTCTTGTGTATTTTAAAATGCACAAATCATAGACGTTCAGATCATATATTTATTAAAAAAGAAAAAGATATCTACAATAGATATTCTCGTATCTTCATATTCTTTATTAGTCAGAGTTACTCACTCGAATTATCAGTTTTCTTTTCTTGACGATCGTTTAAAGTTCTATTAATGATATTACTTCTGTTACAATTGTTTGTTTGAATTTTGTAATTAAATTTCTATAATTCTAAAATTCAATAATATTAAAAATAATTTTTCAAAATGGAACAATTAGCATTCAATTGGTTGGACTATTTGGTATTTAGTACTCTACTTGTGATTAGTTTAATTATCGGCATTTATTTTGGATTTTTTAGTAAACAAAATACTACCACTGAATATCTCTTCGGAGGGAAAAAAATGGGAATTATTCCTGTAGCCGTTAGTTTATTATCCAGGTAAACGTTTGAAATATTTATCATTTTATATACGAGGATCAAAAAAAAAGTTAGATTAATTATTTAAGTTAAATATGAAATTCTAAACTTTAACATACATTACGAAATCTCTACGCATTACTTGTAAATATTCTCATATTTATCATACTTAATATAACTCGGTATAATTTATTTTTCAACGAATAAATATTAAGATTTAATGGTCCAAATGACTGTTAAAGAATAATCTGATACTATTGAATCAATTAATGGTAAAAAATGTATAAATATTTTAGATTTGTGTAGATGATGATAATGATTATAAAATATTCCTTGCAACATACAGTTATTTTTACTTACTTTAATTTACTTTCAAAATAATATCAAAATTATGTTATTGAAATACATTAAATTCAATTATATAAGTGTACTTTGTACTAAAGTAAAAGTAGTGTAGATTGAAATTATATTGTAACTAAATGTCAAAATTATTTTAGATTTAAAATATTTCAAAAATACTTTTATTTAAATTTATATTTAAATATAAAATTATTATTACAGAAAATTATATAAAAATACAATTATTATTTAAATCTAAAATAGTTTTAAATGTATAATTAGAATTTTTTAACTCTATATTTTCTCATTTAATTATATTGATTGCATTAACATTGAAATATCAGGGAAATTTGCAAAAGTTCAGATGTTTCACTAATAAAGATGTATATAATATAAAATAAAATAAATTTAAATTCTTAGAAATTCAATAAGAATGCTTCTAATTTTTCTGTCATTTATTCAATTTTTTAGTACTAAATTATAGTTAAATTATGCTGGATTATAAGTCAATCGATTAAAATTAATCAAGTTTTTTTTATCAAAACAGCTCCTTTTTTGGCAATTTATGTTTTAAGGTACAGAATTATTCTTAATTTAAAAAAAAAAAAAAAAAAACGGTATTTCATAGATATTTATAACTAATTAAGTAATTAACTATAATTAACGTAAAGTCAATTTTTATTATTAATATTAAAAAATTATTATTAAATATAAAAATGGTGTTGCATGTGCTTTATACAGAAATATTTGATAATTGGCTGAAAAAATAATTTAATTGAAAACAATTTTTACTTTAATATTATATATGGATATTATATGAATATAAGTTAGAAATAAAATGCCAATAAGTGTATTTGTTACATGACGTTTGTATATATCTAAAAAGAAAAAAAAATATTACAGTTTGTGAAATTACATTATTTTTTAAACTCTTAGTAATGACTTATTTTTTCATTTAGACAATATAGTCTGTTAATAACGGTAGGATTGATAAATTTTCTCTTTATATACTTATTATTATAATGATATATTTATACTATTTTACGTTTATACTACGTTACTCTGTTATTTTGTAATATAAATGTACGCTAACCTTGATCAGTCCTTACGAATTAACATTTATATATATTTTGCAATAAATGTATAACAGGCTTGTAAAAATAATTTGATTATATATATTTATATTCAATTGAATCTATGCCGATGATGTATAATTGTAAATAAAGTGTACCGATGATATTCTATTTATTCATTGTACTTTCACTATCTTAAAATTGAATATTATTTCACGATTGCACGATATATTTATAATCAGTAATATCGATTAAAAAGCAGTGAATAAAGTCTATGTTAATCCTAGTAAATTCAATCAATATTGATTTGTATTATCAAAAATCCGTAAGTGGTTCCTTAAAGATTAAACTAATTAAAGTCCGAACAAATTTTTTTTTATAAAAATTCCAAAACTTGTCCTAATTATTTTTATTATATTTTATTTACTTTATTTTATTTTCCATTCATTCCTTCTCAATATGCTTAAATATATATTTATAACTATTAGTACGAAAACAAGAATTTTTCTTTTTTAAATTAAGCTATTCGTGTAGGAATTTTAAAATTACTAGTTAGTTGAGTTAATAAGAATCTTTACAATATATGCTTAACTACATAATGAAAAAAAAAAAAAAAAAAAAAAAAAAAAATTGGTGTTCTTCTAATTATTATTCCTATCATTAATTAATTACTCCAATTGCTTGATTTTCAATATTATTCTATTGTGAGTGCTATTGTTGAACAACCTGATGTTCTCGATCTGTAATTTTCCAAATTAAAGATAAGCGGACGACAAATTGCTAACGATAGGTTTATTAGAGCGTCTAATTCGGCTAGGATATAAAGAACTTGATCCTGGTATTTTTACAATTTTTTAAGGTACAATTGGCGATAAATGTAACAAAACCATCTACTTGCTATGGTTAAAGAATATTTACGGAAGCGATATTAAGTTAAGATACGAAGTAATTTGGCGCTCGAGGAGTCTTTAGTGCGCCATCGAAGAAATTCGTTCGCGGCTTGTTGGGAAAAACAAGTTCTACTTATTCGAATCTACCTTCAAAATGTTTTCGTTCAATATATTTACAGCGCGATAGATTATCAGAAAACATCTCAGCAATCACAAAAGAAACTAGAAAATTACTAGAATCAAGCATAGTTTAGCTCTTCGGTCTACCCCATTATTTTCGCTTAATTTGTTGCCCATCCAGGGTCGCTGAAAATCACAACGCTGCAGGATAAATAATAATAGAAATAAGTGTATATGCTGACATATAAGTGTAATTTTTTGAACAATAAGTTACATCGTAACTTAATAATTTTGCATTTATTTAAAAATTTTAATTCTAATTAAAGTTATGATTCTAATTAGCTCAGCTACCATGTGCTGAGAAATTATATATAGTATATCTCGTAAAATGTTTGCACCAGTAAACAAAATTAAGTGTATACACACACGCACACGCACACACACGCGCACACACACACACACGCGTGTATATATATATATATATATATCTCAATTATGAAAAAACATTCGATTAGCGTTTCAACAAATTGCATATTTTAAATATATCGTGGATATATTTGCAAAAATGATTAATGTTTTTATTACATATTAATTAATTTTTATTAGTTGTTTAATGTTATATACTTGCATTATTCTTTCTAATAATATACAAGCATATAAATTCCACACATAAGTGAAAATATTATTACTATCATTTCAACATTTTGGTTTTATAATAATTTACAACAAAGAATTATCGTAACTGAAAATAATGTCCTTTAATCGTTTTCTATTCACCATGTTTTATATATTTTATAATCAATTACAAATTTTATTTTTTCAGTTTTCTATCAGGTATCACTTTTTTGGGAAGTCCTACTGAAGTTTATCTTTATGGTAGTGCATATCTCAATGTTATTATTGGAGCAGTGATTATTTGTATCGTTACAATATATGTTTTTTTACCAATTTTCTTCAAACTTCAACTCTCATGTACAAATGAGTATCTGGAATTGCGTTTTTCGAAAAATGTCAGAAAATTATCATCCTTAGTATATCTCATCGGTTTATTAGCAGTGACGTCAGTGATAATTTACGTGCCTGCTTTAGCCTTTTCCCAAGTTACAAAATATAGCATCCATACTATAACGCCATTACTCACACTTGTATGCATAACGTATACCAGTATGGTAAGCATTAGAGAAAATAATATGAAGAATTATAATAATAAATGTAAACTTAAAACTGAATAATATAACTAAATAAAATTGTTTGGGGTTAATATGAGTAAAATATGGAATATATAATAATTTTAGGGTTTTGGTAAATTTTTTTAATTGTACGAGTCAATAGGATTGGATGAGTTATTTCACTATAAATTTATTATACAAATGATGTTGTTATTTTATTTTATTAATATTATTATTTTTTTTTTTTTATTTTTTTTTTTTTTTTATTACAAATACAATCATTATATTTTACATTGAATTGAAAGAACTCAATAACATATAAGAAAAAATATAAGGGAAAAATTCTTCGACATTGTAAATTGTGAAAACAAACGATCTCAAGTCAATTGTCACGGAAACAAATTGTTCTTTTTTCAATATTACTATACTATATATTCATCATTGATGCGACGTAAATTTTAAAAAACCATCATTACTCTATATTTATGAATTTATAACTCATTCTTATGACGTAAAATACTATTTGATTTATACGATGGTAAATGTGTGATAATTTTCAAAAATCATATATTAAAAATATTCACTCCAATGAAGTTGCTTATTCCGTTATCATGATTTTCAAATACAATAATATCCTTACTAATTCGTGTATTTAACGTATTCAATGATTGCCTAATTAAGTATGTACTAATTTATAGATAAAATTTGGTAATAGTTCATTGAATTGAAAAACTATAAAATTCGTAATTTTATTTGCATTTAGTAAAAATCGATTTGAAACAAATAGTAATATGAAATAAAAAAATTTTCATTAATTTTATAAATTCATAAATAAGTATTTAATATGAATTTATATTTAAATATGTCTTATAAATTACAATGTAATCAAATATTCAAATAAAAAATCCAAATATAATTAATCATAACAGATTAATTTACTAAAAGTAGAACAATGAATACATTTTACTCGCAGCAAGTACAACAATATATATATATATATATATATATATATATATATATATATATATATATTATAAATATATATTTATATTGATATACATTTTTTATATATATATATATATATATACATATATAGTTAATTAATATTTATTTAAATTGATGAACATTGCAATTTTACAAACTTTTGTTACAAACTTGTAGCTTCCTGAATCAACCAACTCGCTAATAAATATAACTTTTATTACATTAAAAAAATAATCATGAAACATATTCAATTATATAAATTTGAATTACAAATATTGTTTACAATTTCGACAATCAAGTGCAAATTTGAGACAAAATTATTTTCTTCGTAACATCTTTAGTACAGGAGTTTTAATAAATTTTTACCACAATCATCATCAATGCAGTAATCAGTATCACGATACATGTAATAAAAACTATTACACAATTCTTCTTATTTTAAATCCCTATAGAGAATTGTAAATAATTGTAAGAAAAAAATAAAGAGAATAAAATATATTCCTATTTATATATGCGTATAAGTATTTATGTCACTTTTTCGATTATATACGATAATTTATTATTCACATAATACTAATACAAATTCAATGTAATAATTATGATCCAGGGATGATGGAAATTTTAAAATCCACTTAATCATTGATGCCGAGGATAATTAAATTTTGTTACTCGTATTATGATTATTTTAGCCTATTTAATCAACAATATTCGAATAAATAAAGTGGTATACATATTTATATATTTAAGTATAATTTTGTTTTGTTTTGCTTTGTTTTTCAGGGTGGCGTTAAGGCCGTTATATGGACGGATACTTTTCAATTTATTTTTACTTTAATTGGAGTATTTACGGTCCTTATTATTGCATTATCATCCGTTGGTGGAATCTCGGAAGTATGGACTATCGCCAAAGAGGGAAATCGAACGAACACTTTTGAGTAAAATAAAACTATTTTATAAATTTCTAGTAAATAAGATTATTTAACTAAGCAATCAAGAATCCTCTAAATAAATATGCTTATTAAATTATTTTCATCTTAATATTGGAATTGTGAAATATTTAGGCAGTTATTGTTTTTCATATCATTACATCCTTTCCTTATTGTATACTCCTCACATTACAGAGCAATGACTTTATTTTACAGCATGGATATCAATATGTATAAACGGAACACATTCTGGTCAATACAAGCAGCCGTACTGTCATCGTGTATTAGTCGATTTAGCGTTGGACAGAAGTATGTTCAAAAATTTTTGTCTTTAAGCAAGGAAAGTGATGCAAGAAAGTAATTATTGACCAACGAAAGATTTAACATATTTATTATTAAAATCTTAACTAAATACTGAATTTTGTTTTGTTTTTGTTGTTTTTTGTTGTTGTTTGTTTTTTTGTCTTTTTGTTTTTTTGTTTTTTTTTTTTTGTTTTTTTTTTTTGTTTCTCAACAGAGCTATATGTATAATGGTATTTGGTTGGATAATTATTGTCGTTGTGTGTGCTACTATTGGCCTAACCATGTATGCCAAATATCACGGCTGCGATCCCCTCAAAGCTAACGTACGTACACTGATCCGTTAAATTCAAGAATTTCAATATAATATGCCTTAATTGTATAATTTTTTTTTTTTTGGTGTTTTTGCGTCACAACTGATTGAATTAAAATGACAACAATAATCATTAATTACTAATATCTTGGCGTGGCGTTGGTCCTTAATCTCATATGGAGATTAAATCAATTGCTCGATACAAATTAATAATAATGAATTATGGGTTTTTTGCAGCTTGTTAGTCGGAGCGATCAAACTCTCGTGTATTTCGTTATGGATATTGCTGGTGACGTACCAGGTCTTCCAGGTATTTTTTTGGCTGGACTCGTCAGTTCTTCACTTTCAACTATGAGCGCTTGTTTGAATACTCTCAGCGGAATGATATACGATGATTTCATCGACATGTGGCTCCCTATTAGTACTAATCGAGAATCTAGAGCTGCAAATATCATGAAGGTCTTATATAATTAAATTATTTGTTCAACTATACGTTCACTGGGAAACACGTTTGTCCGCATATTTATTTAGACTTCTCATTAGTTCAAACAACTTCGCATTTATAACGTATAAGAAGCACTCGATTAAAAAGAAAAGAAGAAGAAAAAAAAAAAAAAAAAACTTTCGCTCGAAACGTATCATTTTCTTAGCTACGTCAGTCACCAAAAGAGACAATTACGGAAAATGATGCTATTTATCCTCAAATTAACGTTTTATCTTTCGATTTAATTAATTTTTAATAATTGTATGAAAATTGATTCGTTGGATTATCTATGTACTTAATCAACGGACAAATATTAATTTAAAATAGTTTTACTTTTTATTATCAGTATACGAAATCAATTTAAAATAAAACGGATTATGCCCGAAAGATTATATGTTTTTAGCGAAACCGAGATATGTCTTAATGAAATATTAATAAATAAATAAAAAATAAAAAATAAAATAAAAAAAAAAAAATTAAATTAATCGATAAGAATAATAATTTGCTATTGTAAGCTGACAAAGAATGTATAGTCATGGGCGATTGAAAATGTTTCTTCACAAACCCTATAATCAAGTGAATTTTCTCCACAAATTTTATAACGCAAATCATAAGTTGTTTCATATATTCAGATGACATATAATAATTAGCGATGTTTGGAGCTAGCTCTTACTCGCGCCACGAAAGTTCAGCAAATAAATGCATATATTCCCTTTCTGTTTAATCTGAATTGGATGGAAAGGGGGTGAAAGAAAAGAAACAAAAAGAAACGAAAAGAAACGAAAAGAAACGAAAAGAAACGAAAAGAAAAGAAAATAAAAGAAAATAAAAGAAAAGAAATGAAAATAAATCCGTAATATGTAATCCGTAATAGCCACGAGCAAGTGCAGCTATCAAACTAATATTATTAAAAAATGTTCACGACTCTTTTATAATTTGCTGATCGATAGGTGACTGTTGTCATTGTCGGAGCTATTGCAATTGGCCTGGTTTTCGTAATGGAGAAATTGGGAACAATTTACGAAATGATATTGACTATCGGTAGTATACTGGATGCGCCAATTCTAACGCTCTTTACCTTGGGAATGCTGATTCCTTGGAGCGGTAAGAAAGGTGCCTTAGTGGGTGGCTACGTCTCTCTCTTTTTTATGATTTGGCTGGTCGTTGGATCGCAGTGGCACGTCATGAATAAGAGAATATACTTCCCGCACCTTCCGACCACCATTGAACAGTGCAATTTTACCAGTAACGCGACGACGCATGGTATGACGACGACCGAGCGCCCAGCTTTAAGCCCATCGGACGAACCCTTCTTTCTCTTTCGGATCTCGATGATGTATTTCACGCTAACGGGAACGGTTGTAGGCATTGTTACTGCTCTCCTAATCAGCTACGTCAATAACGAATTGGATGCCTCGACTGTTAATCCCGATCATATATCGCCGATTCTACATAGGTTAGTATTTTCATTGATTAAGAGTGTCGTGAAAAGATTAATATTTTACGATTCATTGACGCGCAAAGTTTTGCTCGTAATCGTTGATTTAATAATATAGAATATGTAAGTATAACGAATGTTAAGTACATTTAATTCAAATACTTATTCATACTGAACAGCAAGAATTTGCAAGAAGAGCGTAAGTGTCCGTACTTTTATATCTATATAGGCTTTTTTTGCCCTTTTCTGCTCTTTCGTTTAAATATTATTTATTAATCAAATTCATTGTATTTAACAACTGTAGTTAAATCAATTTCTATTATTAAATTAAATATATAATACGTAGAAATTTTCGTAGTTTTGAACCTACATAAAATGTCTTTCTATTACTCTTTACAAGGTTTTCTTCACATAATTTTACAAATTTTTATCAATTAACACTATTATGGTCAATAAGCGGCAAGATTTATTGAAAATAAATTTTCATCACTTGTAACAAGTAGCGAATAAAGTGTACTTTTTATATTACTTTGCAGTCAATAGGATTAATGATTTAAATATGTCAGAGTCAATTTGGAATCGAAATATATCATAACACCGGACAATTACGCTATTACTACACAGCCACATAACTCGATAATATTACAATTTTGCAGAATTTTTTTTCTAAAAACTTAATTTATTAATTTCTCTCTGACATTAAATGGAATGAATGTGAAAAAAAAACGAGAAAGAGGGAATAAGAAATAAGAGTGAACACGCGGGAGAAGTTATAGAAGTAGAGAGAAAGAAACCGTTTGGGGTTTGTTTTTTTTTTTTTTTTTTTTATAGAAGTGGAGGTAATCATGATATCAAATACTGTTTTCGGTTGGTACGTATTTTTCCTGCTACACTAGAAGAATAAAGCAAAACTTACGAAATATTATTTGAGATATTACAGTATAATATACATGGATTCTAAATGCGTCGGTGTGTATGAATGAAGTGTAACTTGACAAGCCAGAAATAGAAAGGATCCAAACAATTGTATCATGTGTGCATGTGAAATGGAGTTTGAATTTCCTATCTTTGCTATGTGTCGATACAAAGGAAACGAACGCACTATTGAAATAGCATTTTTGTCGATTTCATTTCTTTACAACAATCGACTCACGTAGTATTTTTGAATAAAAATTAAACTATTGTATATTACATGCATTCATACAATCTTCCTACGGATTCACGATAAAGATGCTTTAAATATTATTTTGTATTCGCTTATTATTTTAATTTGTTAGGAAAAAAAAGAATAAAAATAATAATCGTATAAAAAAAAAAAAAAAAAAAAAACCATCGTAGCCTACAATTCCTATACTTTTTGAAATTTTCCTTAAACGTTAATTCACATGTGTGTTAAGCAAAAAATGATGCGTAAATTCGAGTATTTTATAGAAAGAAATTTCACCACGTTTGTCAATTATTACAATTAGTGTATGCATGACTTTTATAATATAAAGATAAAAAAATTTCTTTGATATATTATTGTGTTTATTATAAAATTAGAGCCAACACTATGAATGTGTGCATTGTGTCATCCCCGAATACATATATAATAATAACGTAAAGAGAAGTAAAATAGTTTGAATACTAATTTTAAAGTCATGATGCATCAACATACATTTAATAAATATTTTATTTTAATGTACGATATTATTAATGCAAATTATAACAGAATTTTAACAAATACAATTCAATTTTCAACAATCCAATGTACTATTAAACATTATATAATATCGATTATTATCGTGCACCTACGTTTACTTCAATAAATGCAGATAAATTGATTGATAATGACAATTGTACATATGTTTGCAATCCACAGTATATTAAAAAATAATCTGGTAAATGGTAGGATGTAATTTTACTTAGCTTGAAATATTCCTTAATCCTAATCGATATCATATACTCGATATTATTGATTTACAATGCATGTGTTGTTAACTCATAATTCTTTATTATTCCATTATATCCTTAGTTTAATAATAAAGTAAATAACTGAAATATATTTCAATATTTAAATAAAACATTCGAGTTAAAACATTGAATATTCCGATTAGCTATAAAGTTCATATGCAATTTCTAAAATATTGTTTAAAATTTTTAGAGAAATATTTTGAAAAATGTATTAGATATATTTATTTATTTGATTAATTGCAAATTAAAACTAATTTAAAATAATCAGAGTAATCGGAGAATCCAATTGCTAAATTATTGAATTAAAATATTCTTAATGTACGAGAATGTTTTCAAAATATTATCGTTATCATTAGAATTAGTAATATGTTTATATTAAAAATAAATTACTCTAAATATCTTATATCCACGGATTTTTTTTTTTTTTTTTTGAGTAATTTTTAATTTCGTATTCTACCTCAATAAATTTTTATTTTTACATTTTCAGATTTTTACCTAAAAAGAGTTACGTTGATGTACCTCTAAAAAATATTTATCAAGATAATAGAATGGAAACTGATGAAGCGTCTAAACTATCGAATGAAATATAAATAATGGTAAAAGAACTTTGTAAACAAATGTAAATTGTATTGATTGAAACTACTAGTTAATCTCCAATAATCAATAATTTCTCTTCAAATATAATAATTATCTTATCAATATTTTTATTTATTAAACAGCAACAATGTTATCTTAATAAATATAAGTCGATCGAAATAAATACTACTATGTTAATAAATCTTTGATATTGTTTTAAACTAGTATTATTATTATTTATTTTTTTCTTTATATATCTTTTGGAAACTGAAGATTAATGCTCCCGTAACAAAAATATGTAATTAACTTAGTTTATTTAAGAATGAAAATGATGCTGATTATATTTAGGATTTCGCGCAACGTTTTCTTATATTATTATATAGTAGTAATGGAATATAATTAAATATTCGTACGTTCTTGAATTAGAAATTAGAAATCGTATTACAGAATCTAGCTTGAGTAACTAAAAATCTAAAAATTCTGTCAATTGAAAGTTCAAGTCAATGCTTTGAACATCACTTAATTGCTGAAAAATTTTTTATGCAACTAATACAAGGCTATCGGCATATAAAGATACAATAGATCCAATCTACCTGAACATTATAGTATATTATTGGTCAAAGAGGTAGCCATTTTACTTTTTTTCGTCTTTATTTTTTGCGAAAGTCAATGATGACAATTTCTCGATCAATCTAAACTTCCAGCGGGTTGATTGATATTCTGACATTTACCCGATAATCTCATCCTTTTTACCATTTAGGCCATCCGGATCGCTTTCCTCTTTTTTTTCCTTTTTATCTCTTGGCAAACGAATTGCCCTCCAACACGATACGATCCCTCGTGCACTGTATATCTGCAGCGCATCCGTGGTAGTTGGGAGTGGTTGTTGTAAATTCCCGTTAGTTCGAGCTGCAATTGTATGGATAAAAACATAAACATCGATAAATTCTAAATTATTAGCAAAAGAATCGATTAAATAATCTATAAAAAGTACTATCGATAGAAAAAATATTAGCGTAAGTATTAATTATATTACTCATTAATTTTATGTTAATTTTATACACATTTATTGTATTTTTTCATATTATGCATAAGCATTATTAACCAAATTTTAGAAAGCTATTTATTTACAAAAACATTTGATCAATAAAATTCCTCAAAGTCCTCATAGTAATTAATATGTTTATTTACTAATTTTCTTACTAAAAAAATATATTTCATATTAATATATCAATATCATAGAATATTATGTAGATTTAAAATAAAATTTTGGTTACCGGAAAACGAAATAATATTAAAGTCGTTATAAGATGTTAATATAAGCATTATATGTAAATAATTATAAATATAAAAATGATAATTATAAAATTAATAATGCTTTCGATAACAAAATATATTATAATTGGTTTAATTAAATTCTTGAAAATTATATGTTAATATGACACTTTCTCAAAGTTAATTCTTATATCATTATTATTGAAAATGTTTCAATTAGAATTTTAACATTATTATTATTTGTTTTTTTGTTAATTTTTATTCGAATACGTATACACAAGTGATGAAATTATATAAGTATATACGTATATAATTCTTTTATTATTTATTGTTTAGGGTTTATTATAATTAAGATAAAACGTCATAAAGAATTTATTAATGTTTTGATATATATTTTACTTTATTAACAATGTATTGTCTATTTTACATTATAAATATCTAGCTTAGTAAAACTTTCACTATAACTTAAGATAATCTATAAATTACAAGTTTCAACTTTTATTTACTATATACATCTAGCGAAATGCAATTTGAGATAAATATTTCATTTAATATTTCACGCAATGTCAAATTACAAATGAAATAATGTAATCGACAAAGTGAAATAAAATGTTCAACATTATAATACTTAAATTAGCTTTGATTGCTTAGCGTATATATTATATATACATATATTATATTTTGATTATTTATTATTGAAAATTGATTGAAAAAAAGTTTTTACTCACACATTTTACAATTATTATAATTGCTTTATTAGGTTCTTTTTATAACTTTATTTGATCGTGAAATTGATGCAAATTTCAATAATGATGAGATCATGAATACGGACTTTTTCCTCTCAATCATTATAGAAAACTACTAGTTATTGAAAAATTTAATGCTATAAGAACATTTATATCAAATCGATATTAATTAAATTAATTTATACACAATTGTTTAAAATACAGCGAGAATTTCATTAAGAACCTAACTGACAAACACATATTGCATATTTATAATTTTTTTCCCAAACATTATTGTTTTTTTCTTTTCGTTTTATTCTTTCGTGCTATTTGCTTTTTGAACAATAACTTTTTCAAATACAAAAAAATATGTCTTTGCAGTTTTACGCTACATTATAGTTCAGTTATTATTGCTGAAACGAGATTAAATTTTATTTACATTCTTACGCAATAAAGCATATGCTCTTTTGATATATTGTCCATACAGATTGTAACTATAAGTTGCACCGAATATTTATATTCCTGAATTATTGAAGAAGCCAGAGGTCGTGTCGTGTGTATAACTATTAAAGATAATGAGATTATACATTAAGTATTCATAATTTTTTCTAATACATTTGTTATTCGTCAAGATAACGATTCTATTAATCATATGGTTTCTATTGGTGTAGGCTTGTTAATATATTATTAATACGTCAAACGATTAGTTCCTTGGATATATAAATTTTTTTATACATCATAATTTGGTACATTTTTTAAATTAGGAAAAAAACATCTTACCGGATTAAATATACAGAAGTATATTATAGATAAAAATTATTACTTAGACGACTAAATGTTAACTAACTTTTCTCTGTCACTTTTATATTTACCTCTTTATCTTACAGTCTTTGTAACTTTGACTGGACTACGTACTTGGTTATCATATTAGAAAGTACAATAAATCAGGATATTATTGATTTGCGTGAGCCATTAGTTGTGTATTATATTTTTTTACCAGTTAAGCCAGTTGTTACGAGCAAATAAGTATCCTTGGACTGAAATACGTTATAAGAACAAGAAAGTGAGATAGCATGATATTGAATCTTTAACGATAATTAGTATGAGTATATTAAGTTATTGAATGCAAATACGAGTGTTAGTTACGAATTAAGTAAATTTAATCTAAATAGAGAATCAACTGTATATTAATTACATATTTCAGATTAAATGCGACTATTGTTAACATAAATACAAAACAAATTGCATATCATAACTCGTCTAACTCAGTATGATCATCATAAATAATGTAATAGTTTTATAAGATAATATGAAATACATTCAAAGATCTTCTTACTTATATACAGTTGTTTAGAGAAAATTAAAATTTTTAAATAATATTTGATGCGCTTAAACTTGATATAATAAAATAGAAATTTTCATTCGATACTTATTTTTAATTGCTTAATATACTTGTTATTAATTGCTAAATATACTTGTTTTTGTATAAATATATATTCTGAGTAACGTATACATTTTAAAGTTTAATAAAGAAAATCTATTAAGAGAAAGTTCTATTTTTACAAATAGTTAGAAACAAAATGGTATTCTTAACGATGATAAATATTGGGAAATGAAATACCGTCTTACTGCTAGAGCGGCATAGCGTCAAATTAACAATTACAAAAACTATATCTGATTACAATTTATTGTCTATAATGTTCTTCTTTTGAATTATTTGAAATTAAAAAAAAAATTTTATAAGAAATACAAAAAATATCAATATCAATTGCACAAAAGATTCTGTATTGTATCTTTCATTTAAACTATGATGTATATATATATATATATATTAAATCTTTTTATTAGATAATAAATTTAAACTTATACTTATTGTAAATAATACTCAGTATATATATATATATATATATATATTGTTGTTGTAATGATTACTACAATCAATAACATTATTTCAAATTCTTTTCATTCAAAATATTTACAAACTGTATCTATCCAACAAATAATTTATACAATATCGCAAAAGTTTACTATTCGTATGATACAACAATAAAACATTCAAGTTGTAATATTTTATGAAAACGTGAAATTCTAATCAAAAGCATGAATAAATATACAAACATCTAACGACTGTTTAACTATAATGAAAATACTGTTTACTATAATAATAATAATTTCACATTTCAGCAAGTATGGAAGTATATGGCGTAATCAATATATAAGCATTTACAAACAATCTTTTGAACATTATTGTATAAATAGAGGCTGCATGTCAGGAACAATACCGAGCGGCATTTTTTCTACACTAAAATAAATAAAGCATCAAGCTAAAGATCATCTGGACCAATGAGAAACTGCATGTTACAAACGCGACTACAGTCTCTACTGACAATTCAACCTTAGCCAAATCGTCAATCGGATACTCAAGTATTGCTTATTTTTGTAAAAAATACATCATTTGCAGGGGATGCTATTACTTGCTGGGTGTTTTTTGTTTAATTTTCAAAACAATAAAGATTTGCTTCTTACCTGCAATTCAAATTATTTTGTCCTGTTAGAAAATTCAAAAAGTTATTTTGTTGAAACGATCTTGTAAATATAACTAACACCTATGTGTAAGGCATATTGAGCGATGAAAATTTTGGAAATCGCCGCTGATTTCAAATACCACAACATCCATTTATTAATCTTTTATCATCGATTCGCCAAATCAGCAATGATACCGATCATCCTGTCCTCTCGATATTACGTTTTACATTTATTTAATTCCTATTTGAATAAAAAGTACAGAATATATGGAATCTTCTATTTAACAAGATAAGTAAATTACGGGAAAATCTACAACCATTTAATACGTCATTTTTCAACATCTACAAAGTCTGAAGTAATCAGTCTTATCTAAATGAGTTTAACTTAAATATCATTATCTTACTGCCGCTTGCTCGAAATATAAGTAAAATTCCAAAGTAATTCATAATTTCTCAGGGCATTCTCATCCCCACTTAATTTTTCTCGTATAATTTTACACGTACGGTTTCAATGTTTAGTGATATAGAAGTCGAAATAGTTTTGCTGTTCTTTTTACATTACTTTTAGTCGATCGTCAGTACGGGATTGGTAATGGATCTGAACGTCAGCAACAGTATTCTGCCGATGCAGACTAGGCAACTGGTCTTCGGTTGGATAGATTACAGTATATTTATCGCCCTTCTAGGAATTAGCCTTTTAATAGGCGTTTATTTTGGAATTTACAAGAAACAAAACAGTACATCCGAATATTTATTCGGTGGAAAAAGAATGAATTATATTGCTGTGGCAACCAGTATACTTGCAAGGTTGGTTCTAATAAATTTAATTACAACTTGATTTCGCTTATACCCTGTGGAATGTCAAAAATCTTCCTACGATTTCTTCAATCAATAATTTCAACAATAATCAATAAAAGATAAACGGATATCGATAGGAAAAGTTTATTTTATCAACGATTAAATAATAATTGTCTGCTTTTTAAATAACTCCGAGCCTCTGTCTCATGGACTTGCATTATATATAAAATAATAAAAGATCACGAATCATAATGAAATAGAATGCGAAACAACCTTGACGTTGAAGTTCACTTGAAACAAAATCCAAAAATAATAACAACTACTGTTTTATAAATTGACTGCATGTACAAAATTATGTATACTTACTAGTAGTTCAATTATATATTATTTTATAGCAGGTGAAATTTATAAGAATAATACTATTTAACGATATATAGTATTCATTCATTCGTATCGAATATTTGATAATAATTAATTAATATATAATGGATATTTATTCGAATAATATACTAATCAGTAAAAACAACAACGTTTATATACAAATTTATAAACATAGCAATCCGATTATTAAAGAAAACAAAAAAAAAAAAAAAAAAACCAAAAAAATACAAAAAAAAAAAAAACAAAAAAAAGATCAATAATTTTATTTTAATTTTATATTATTTTTTATTCAATTCTTTTGTTTTATATTTAAATCTTAATTCACAGCATCATAAGCATAATTGTTAAATTAAAACTTTTTACTAATTGTTAACAAAAATAAAAATATCTTTTTTTTTTTTTTAAACTATATGTTAAAAAGTAATTAAAAAATTATGAAATATTTTTACAAGACACGGCATAAATTTGAAAATTATACTATAAATATCATATTAAACATTGTGAATTATAATATTTGAATTGTATTATATATAAAGTTTTCAATAAGAGTTTTTATATATTACTCACTATACATGTAGAAAAATAATAATAGCAAATAGTCATTTCATACAAATATTACAAATTGTAAATTCACAATTCAATGTCTTACTTTGGAAATTTGTCTTAAACTAAAATAACATTTATATGACATAAGCTCATGTGAATTATATCATATGAATATTTTTTTTTATCATATCATCAATTTTTACACAGTTGCTATCCAAATAAAATTGACTTAATGGAACTAGATAATCATAAAATCTGTTATTTTTAATTACATTTTTTGATAATAAAACATTTCTTGAGTATAATGCTGTTTGGTTTGTATCTGTAAATTTACTAAATTGTTGACTTAATAGTAGAAAAACCAAACGGCTCCTTTAAAAATATATATATTTTTGTTGCTTCCCATTCGAATTTGTGACGGAGTCTGCTATTAAAAGGAATTAATTTAGTAATTAAGTACTTTGTATAATTTCTATCATTTACTTATTTAATAATGAAAAAAATTAATAGCTATATATATATATATATAGAAATATGTAATTTGTATACAATACATAATTGCGAAACTTAGCAAATAATTATATCTAATATAATAAGAAAATTAATTATTTTAAAATATAGTTTATAAATACTTACAAAATATATATTTATATTGAATATAATTGAAAAATAAACTACAAAGTAATTAGATTTATAATTTAATAATAATTAATTGAATTATTGATTATTTTTAAAAAATTTGAAGATAGATTAATGTAAATTATTAGTTTTACAATCTAAAGATATTCTATGATTTCATTAAAAAATTGTAGTCTAAATAAAATATTTTTATTACAAAAAAAATTGTAGTAATTCTTATTAAATTTTATCCAGAATTTTAGTTATTTTAATTGTTAATTTTAGGAATTAATTTTATATAAATTTTCATAAAAATTAAATTCAAGCTAAGTTTTAATAATTAAGATATAAATGTTTAATAATGTTATTGACAATTTGTGCCAACGATTGCGGTTAAACATAAAAAAATATATATATATATATATTCATGTAATTGCATTTATAAGTATTAATAAATTATTATATATTTATGTATGTTAAAATAAAATTTTATAGAAAAATTAATTGCTAATTTATTAGATTAAGAATGTAGCACAAGATACTTTATCATTTTAAAGATTTAAGAAGATGTAACGTTATAAAAAATATAAAAACGATGGCGCTGCTTTATTTATTACAAAGAAATTAATTGATAAATGATATTACATATGTTCGTATATAACACTTATAATATATAAAAATAAATTTTATAAATTATATTAAGTTTGATAAAATTAATTTCAAACAGGTACAAAAATCACCTATCATTTCTATTTAAATTAGAGGAAGTCGTAACAAAGTTATTATACTGAAAAGTACATTTAATTAAAATATTTATTTAGCAAATAAAAGATAAATAAGTAATTATTTATTTTATTTTAATCTAAGCGTTAATGCATAATAAATTACATTTATTATATCATTAATTAGTTTTAAAAACAAAAAAAACTTTTAAATATTTATATTCAATTTAATAAAACAATTTAAATGAACAATATTAATAAAATTAATGAATGTAGTAAATACAAATATAAATTATTAAAATTTATATTTAAAGCATTGTGAATGAAATTAATTATTTATTTAAAAGACGTAATAGAATTATGTATCTTTTGGCTAAGCATCTATTTAAATAAATAAATAACTATTTATTTCTCGAAATTAATAAATTTAATTCATTATGCAATTTCAATTAGTAATGTTATAATATTATTAATATTAATTAATTAGAAATTTAATGTTTTTTTAATTTTTATTTAGTATATTTATTTATTTAATATACTAAATTTAATTAATTTATATTTATTTAATTTTTATTAGTATATCTAGTTATTTGTTAAATAAATTTAATTCAGACTAAACTTAGAAAAAGATAGACAAATGAATTTAATTTTAAATTTAGCTAATAATTTAATGGATAAGCTTTAAGTTTATTATAATACCGAATTAATTTTTGTATGAATAATAATTATGTAAATGTTTATTACATTAATAATAATTATTATAAGATAAATTTGAAGCAAATAAAAAGTTAATTTATTACAGAATTAGGGTGATTAAAATATTTTCTAAAAAATTTTCTGGCTTTTTAATGGTTAATGAGACTTTATATTATATTTGTCCAGTATTAGGAATAGTTTTAATCTTTCTCCGTTACATTAGGTTTTGTTGTTATGTTGTTATGTTGCTAATTCAATAAATCATAAGATACATAAATTATTGATTATTAACTAATTATTATTTATTTATAGAGTGGTAGTAGTATAACTCAAAGATTTTATCTAATATTTAATTGTATGAAAATCAACATTACTCATAATTTATTAGAATATTAGGTGAATTAAATCAATCTGCATTTCGTTAACAATGAATTTCTTTATTATTATTATATATTGCTGAATATCGAATTTTATTTTGTATTAATGACAATTGTAATTTTTATTCTTTGGTATCGGCGAACATCATTAACATCATTAAGCGAATATCATTCCTATACGTTTTGATTATTTTATAAGATAAGTTTCTTATTATTTATTTTAGAATTTGTAATAATTTAAGTTTTATAAATATTTATAAAAATTTTTATAGTACTAGTACTGTAAAGCATTAGATTTTGCTTCTTGTTATGTAACTGAAAATTACATGCTCATAAACTTAATCATTTAAAAATGGATAAAATTTATCTTAAATCAAGTCGAAATTGATTATTTTCATTTTTATTTAATTTTCGTAAATGAAATTAATGTATAAATGAGTAATTATTGGACTAATAGAAATACGATATAAAATTGAAATAATTTTACTAATTAACGTATAAGGATCTGTAATCAGTTTAGCTCCTTCTCAAGTTGATATGAAAAAAAATTTCAATAAAAATTCAAAATAAAATTTGATTAATAATTTGAAATTTGAACCCCATCATTTTATATTGATAATTAATAGGAATGAATAGCTAAATAATAATTGATATTATTTGTGAAAATACTCCTTCTGATATACGAATAATTGGTTGGATTATTGCGTATGTGTAAAGGGAAAATTGGGCACGAAGTGGAGTAATTATTGAATAAGCATTAATATCATTTTTAGAATGAGAAAGAATATAGGGATTTAATAGACAAATTCTATAATAATATTCTAAATATAAAAATCAATCCGATAAAGTTTTTAATTACAATATAAGGGTTAAATAGAAATTTTTAAAAAGTTTCTATTTAATCCTAAGGTATTTAGATGATCCTTTTCCATGTAAAAAAAAAGATTAGATTTAAAATTATAGAAGATAAAATAACGACAGGTTGTCAAATTGTAATTATTGTTGTACCCCAAGATGCTATTTGTCCACAGGGTAAGACTACATATATACATATAAACTGTATTTATAGGATTTATTTATATAATGTAGTTAAAAAAAAAAAAATAATAATAATTAATCCAATTCTTCAGATTTTGGTTAATTTAATATTATTATAATAAAAGATTTCAACTGATTTGGACAAATAAATAAATAAATAAATAAATAAATAATATTGATGCATCGTTTGTAGGATAAGTCGAATCGATTCATCATGAATTACTTCTTGTATAATTGGAATGACTTTATTAAATGCTACATTAATGTTAGAAATAAAATCGATAAAAGTATCCCTGAAATAATTTGTGACGTTACATATTCGTTGTAGTGATTCCTAATAGAAATCCAAAATTTCATCATAGTGAAATTTTCATGAGTATGGGTGAATTAATAAGTGAAGAACGAAAAATTTCTAATAATTGATTTTGTGTAGGATTAATTTTTTAATAAATTATCGTATGTTTCAAATATATTTGCAATAATTGTTTAAGTATTAATTGGTTATAGTAATAAAACATAATACTATCGATAAAATTAAAAAAAAAAATAATAATAATAATACTACTGAGTTGTCAAATAGGTAAATTTGAAATTATTTTATTCAATATTTATTTAATTATCCGATAAAGGTCTGTTAAATTGATATAATGTTAATGTTATTTATGTCAAGTGTTGTATGATCATTCCTAATATAGGTTTTAGTATATATATATATATATATATATATATATGCACAGAAACAGAAAAGTTAAAAAAAAAAAAAAAAAAAAAGACAACAAATATTGAAGAATTTCTCTAACACTTGAAGGTGAATATTAATTCAAATATAATTTTTATATTATACCATTCAGTAATATATAATACATAATATTTTTAAGCTTTGTACTCATACAATAATAGCCTATGTAAAATACTTAATATTGAACTTTATTAACAACTATGAGTAAAAATTCCTAAATAACAATGTATAGCAATTAGTAATTAATATCTATTTATCACGAGTTAAAAAATTCATAAAATTAATTCAATAGCTAATAACTCGACTGTTAGTCTGATGGATTTAATTGATTTAGCTGTATAATATATGTAATAAATGCGAGGCTAAAAATTTTAGATATAAATACAAAACGGAGTATTCTAAAGCAAAAACCAGGCAATATTAATTAACCGAATACCTTCATACTGTTGTAGTATTTAACTTTGAAAGCACTTCGATAATGCATTAATGGACCGTGGCTAAATGGATGTAATAATAGTAATAGAAGAAAATACAAAAATTATTATAATGTTAAGTAGTTGAAAAACGATATATTGTGTTACTTGTTTGCACCTACTTATAAACGAATACCATCGATCGTATTAAATTTAGCAAAAATTTGTGATTGTTTTACATACTTTAAAAATATGTTAAATTATATAATATTTCATGTGAAAAAGTTATGTAAGAGCATCGAGTACAGTAAATTTATGAATAATTAAATAATAGAGAAGATTCTTAAAAGTAATTTTTGTCTATCGTCCCAAAGTTTGCTATCGGGCATCACGTTTCTGGGAATTCCAACGGAAGTTTATCTTCATGGGAGTCAATACTTCACAGTCTGTATATCAGCATTTATACTTGGACCCATTATTGCTTACATAGTAATACCACATTTCAATAAGCTCCAAATTTCCAGTAGCTATGAATATCTGGAATTGAGATTTACTCAGTCGATACGAACTTTGGCTGCCAGTCTTTACATCATATCACTCTTCGTGTACATGCCCGTTGTCATTTACGTGCCAGCACTTGCATTTTCACAAGTCACAGGCTTCAGCGTTCATGCCATAACACCAATTTTCTCTTTAGTTTGTATTACGTACACCAGTATGGTAAGTCGTTATGTATATAAATGAAATTTACTTATTTTTGCAACTAATGCGTTCTTTGGATTAAACGAGAAAAGCCCATAGAAGCTTATATCGATTAACAATTACTTATTACTTCAGAGAAAAAGTAAATATCAAGACCGTTCATATATCTCTATCTATTTTTTTTTTTTTCTTTTTCTTTTTCTTTTCAATAATATTCTCCAAATAGTACAATAATTACATCGTCGATTATTAATTAGAGATTATTAAATTTTTATTAGATCAAAATCGAGAATTTTTTTTTTTTTATTATTATTTTTTTTTTTTTATTTTTTTTTTTATTTTATTAATTCATGTCATTTTGCTCGTATAGATTTCGAGAAAAATTTATACGCGTTTTGTATCGAAAAATATTATATTTGCTTTAACTCTTAAATACTCAAATTGACCTAACTCTAATGAATTATTATAGTATTTCAATGAATAACGTTGCGTTTAAAGAGAAACTGGTTTTCACTGTATTAAAAAAAAAAAACAAAAAAAAAAAACAAAAAAAAAAAAAAAAAAACAAACAAACAAAAACAACAAAACAGAAGAAGAAAAAGAAAAGAAAAAATAAAAACCATTTGTAATCTGTTATAAGAAAATATAATATTGAATTAAAAAATGAAAATTTTTTTATTTCCTTAATAAATTATGAAAAATCTACTATTATTCATCATGCTGAACATAAAATCTTCAAAAAAAAAAAAAAAAAAATCAAAAAAAAAAAACATCAAACAGTCAATGCATTGACAATAATAAAATTGTTGCTTTAAATGCTTGAATAATTGGCCATATAATCCCATTTCACCACATTTAAGTTATAATTTCACGTATATAATTTTACAAATACATTAGAAATATTCTCTTTTTCATATAGGGTGGTATTAAAGCTGTAGTGTGGACAGATACTATACAGTTCTTTTTTACAATAGCTGGTTTGTCTGCTGTTTTAATTATTGGTCTGATATCTATAGGTGGTGTCTCCGAACTTTGGAGAATCGCTGACGAAGGACAACGCCTACAATTCTTTAAGTGAGATATTACGAAAATAGCATTATTATTAGGCTATTTTCTTATATTATAATTACGTCGTTTTAATTATAAAATCCATCTCAGGCCAATGCTTCGTTGGCTTTGATTATCTTTGATTATATGCAATTGATTGTCGTATGTGGATATTTACAAATCATTATCATTATCTAATAAATTGATTTAGCACATTTAGCATTTATATGTATTAGTACAATGTCATTAAATAGCTTTAGTATTATTAAAAGCGTCCGGGAATATTGTTATATTTATTTCAATTTATCGATTATAAATGATTATTTATAAGTTGACGTGAAAATTAAATCTAAATCGTTGTATTTTTCAATGTATCCACTACTTTAATAAATATCGCTATGCCGGAAATTCTTTCGTCGCAATTTGTTGAACGAATTTACGTTGTAAGGGCGCGGTATTACGAGCGCCTATCGATTAATTTGAATAATACAATCTTAAAAATTCTTGTAAATACAATGAATATCATAATTATTATCCATTACATTATCGAATAAGCAATTAAGTTACATGTGCTGGGGTCATTGTACAATTTATTTGCGATAGTAAATACGAATACGAATAGTTTGAATCAATTTATTAGTATAATCGGTAAAATTGCTAAAATTATGTCTGATTAAAGAAAGAAAAAGAAGTAAAGCAAGTAGCATGAACATTGCCGCACTATTGTTTTCACATATTAGTATTATTAGAAATTAATGTATTTCAATAAAGCAAATGTTCCATGTTATTTAGCATGGATCCAAGCCCTTTCAAGAAAAATACATTTTGGGTTATAACAGTTGGTATGACAGTGTCGATGCTAAGTCGTTTTGGACTTGGACAAAAGTTCGTGCAGCGATTCTTAGCCGTGAAGAGCCAGGCGGAGATGAAAAAGTAATTACAAGCGGTCAGATCCAATAGCTCGTACGCAAATATTTCAAATTACATAACAATAAGATTGTCCTTTCATTCCTTTTAGAGCTGTTTTATTAACGGTAACGGGCTGGGCAATGTTACAAGCGGCCAGTGTTTTCATAGGGCTCCTAATGTATGCTTCGTATCATAATTGCGATCCACTTAAAGCCAAGGTAAACACTTAGTAATTTCACGATTACTCACCTACACGAAGCTTTTATTATATTAAATAAAAAAAAAAAAAAAAAAAAAAAAAAAAAAAAAAAAAAAATGTCGTTATATGATCGTAAATTCCCGACAAATAATTAACAATTGTTTAAAGTTAGTGAATCGAATTGACCAGACTTTACCTTATTATGTAATGGACATTGGCGCAAATTTACGAGGATTACCAGGTATTTTTCTAGCTGGTATTGTTAGCTCGGCATTATCAACCATGAGCGCCTCTTTAAACACGCTCGCCGGAACCATTTATAAAACCTATATCAACAGGCACATCGCCGACGACCCTAAGAGAGACTCCAAAGCAGCCAATATTATGAAGGTTCGTAATATTCATCTAGAGAGTTCGATTTACGCGTAAATGTAGGATAATAAGCGTGAGACGCTTTGCATTAGGGGAGAGCATTTTATCGGGTTTAAAAAAAAAAATTTCTCCTCGTGTTAATGAGAAGTATGGGCTACGTTAGGAATGACCCTATCATTATTCTGACAACGCGACGTAACGCCTGCGAGTAATTATTTGGATTCTATTCCTCCTCGCCCATCATTATTTCCCTCCCCCGCCCCCCCTAAAGCAACGAAACTTTACGAGATCTTAATTCATCGATTGATCAATTGATCAATTCATCGATGCGACTGGCTTACACATCCATCCAACATTATTCGAGCCCTCGAACTTTGTAATGAAAAATGTTTAACGCGGTATTCGAATATTCGATAATAATGAATTTGATCGGCAATTGAATGGCAACGCGTGCTTACGAGCCCTAAACTTCATCGACGTAAATTAGTTTGGCCCCATGATCAGCCACGATCTCGGAAACCCGTTACAATACCATTGCCCTGGGAGATATGCGAGCGCAATCATATATTTTTCATAACGGCCGACAACAGATCGACCTAATCCTCGATCGCACATAGGAATAAAGTAAAGCAATAAGGACGTTACGTCATTGAATTGCGTTTAACTAAAGGCTGTTTGCTTGAATTAGGTTATATCGGTGATCGCGGGCTTGATAACGATCGGCGCGGTCTTTGTTATCGAGCGGCTGGGCACGGTCTTCGAGATGGCGATAAGCTTCTCGAGCGTGACGGAAGGAGCACTCCTTGGCCTCTTCACCGTCGGTATGCTGTGCCCGTGGGTTGGCAAGAAGGGCGCGATCACGGGCGCCTACGTATCCCTCGTAATTATGGGCTGGATAGTCGGCAGCACTCAATGGTACATTATGAACAAGAAGATTATGAGCCCCAGCCTCCCGACCTCCATCGATGCTTGTCCAAATTCGATAAACGAGACATTGGCTGGGATGAGCTCGGGCACGACGACGATGCCCGATCGGTTGAGCGAGGAGAAGGAGGAGGAGAAGGCGCCGATGATCATCTACCACTTGGCGGTGCTGTACTACACGCTCTTGGGCAGCCTCATCGTCATCGTCGTCAGTTGTGTCACCAGCTTCGTCGTTGGAGAAACGGACTTGTCCAAGGTCGAGCCTGATCATATTTTGCCGTTTATGCGAAGGTAGCTATTGGAAGCCGTGGGAGGGGAGGATGTGCGCGTGCGTGCGTGCGTGTGTGTATGGGGAGGGGGGGGGGGGGGGGGGGAGGGGGTGGAAGAGAGAAGGAGCGTGTTTTGCGCTTGATTAGCGATCACGTTTCAAATTGTCACTGCTTACAGCGAGTCAATGAAGGGGAAGCCCGCCCGGTCGAGTTACCTCTAAAAGCGCCGCAAATGCACTGGCTTGCAAGCTCTAATACAAAACTTTTGTCTTTTCATTATTACGGTCACTTTTTCGGTTGTTGTTTGCCATTTTTGCGCTTAAATGTAACGATAATATTGACGCGATCTGTACGAAAACAAGTCGTACCGTAAATAATTTGACAAATTGATTTGTGTCACTACTGCTATATTATTAATATTATATACAGAAGACGTTTTTATTATATGTTTGTTTAATAATGTTATGTTTATTATTTTTTTTTTTTTTTTATTTTTTTGTTTGTATATTTCAGGTTTTTACCACGAAAGAGATCGTACATGGAAATTCCAATTAAAGATATTGAAAGGGAGACCAATTATGATGCTAAGCATTAGAGAATTTTGCTCTTTAATTGATAATTGCCGATCCTACAAAATTGACGTACGCAACGTCTATAGCATATTTATCGGTATGTTAAAAATTTTAATCGATTTATGCAGAAGGACCTCTTTCCAACGCTACTTACGATCAATATTGACTGTCGTTGATTTAATTAATAAATATTGTGCTCAGGTGTCACTAGAGTAGATGTCTGTAGCATTAAGAGATAATACAATTTGATTTTAGACAACATTAACAAGAATGGAAGAAAGAAAGAAAGCAAATAGCGAAAAGTGATTGCCTCATCAAAATGTAATGAAGAATTCGGTTTACGTTGAAGTAAGGAAGCGCTCGAAACGACATAAATACTTTAGCTCCGTATGAAGCATTTCATTATCTTTATATATAATTACAGTAGTACCTGCTCTAATCATAATAATGGCTAACGTAAAAACGAGATATTATAAATTATTTTAAGGAACTTACGTACCTAATTAAAGTAGTGCATTGCCGTTCGTTGTGATTTTCATTAGAACTAAACATTAAAAATTGTATCATTTAATATTGATTAACGGTGAGTTTCAATCGTCCTTATGCAACATACGGCAAATATTTCTGGCTAAATATTATTTTTATTTTTTCCAGTATTTAAAAAAAAAAAACAATAAAAATAAAAAACAAAAAAAAGTTTTACAGCCCGTCTAGTTTTAAGCACTAATACTTGTAATAATAGCACATGTCCTAAAGGACGTCTGTATATGTGATACTTTATTTAAAAATACAATTCATAAAAACAAACAAACAAACAAAAACAAAAAAAATAATAATGCGTAAAATTATTTCTTACTAAATGTAAACTACTTTTGTAATGAATTATTTAGGCCGAATGTCTGTATTATTATGGATAAATTGAGTTTTATTTAATGTTCATTTTCATTTGAAATAGTAGCAGTCTATTGGAATCGTTCGTTCGTTTTATTATTATTATTTTTGTTTTTTTGTCGTATGTAGTAAACATGATTCATAAATAAATAAATGAGACTAAATTGAACGGATATTGTATAGGTCAATTTAAAATTAAAATTCTTAAATTTTAAATCTCTTCGCTTTCCCATTTTGTCATGATTTAATAATTTTTATAGATTATGCATAATTCTATAAATAAATTTATAGAAATGAAAATATAAGTTTTGTCAATTATGTACGAAAAATACTGTTTATGTGGCCATTATATCTTCTTAACGCTCGAATCATCTTTAAAAGTTAAAATTATCGATAAACAATGTACAACTTGCCCATTTATCAATTTTACACTATCACATGTACAGAAGAATTGATCTTATATATATATATATATATATATATACATTCGTAAAATTAAATTTTATCCATTGATAGCAATATAAAGATTTTCTTAATATTTCGCGAAGCTATCGAGCTATTTTCAAAACTATCCTCAAAGAAGAATTCAAGCTATTGTACAAGTTTTATAAAAATATTAATAGCGAGTAGAGAGTAACGTTAGTATGAAAAAAGTATTATGTAACGGACGAAGAAATAAATCTTCGAAACGCACAACAGTTAAAAGAAACTTTAATGGTAATAAAGACTCGTGCAGTGGAAAATGTACATTAGAATTCGCATATTAAAAATACCACTGACTATACATAATTTCCCCCGTACAATTAGTGAGAGGGGCTCGTGTAAATGAGCTCGTGAGTATTTAAGTAAAATTATCGGGAAGCAGCTGCCCGAAGCCTCCATCTCATCCTGGAAATCATCGATGCATCGGAGACTCGGAGACCGAAGGAGCCCCCAGGCTCGAGGCACGCGCGCTCTTATCGATCAGCGCGCGCGCACGCGCACCAAACGATGAATTCTCGTCCCGAGGTGTAAGCGGACTGGCTCGACTGCCTAGTTTCCCGATGCAATATTAAAATCCCCGTGGTCGTCGACGGTCGACGACGCAGAGTATTTAATTATGAGGGGCACCAGGGGCTCCCCATCTCCCACAAGACGGTGACAGCGGGGCACTCGAGCGATACTCGTTGACCCACCGCGGCATCCCCGGGAAATAGAGCGAGAGAGAACGGGTAGGGGATGGAGTGTAATGGGTGAGCTGGAGGCTCGCTCAAGGGGTTGTGAGCCGCGCCTACACGTGGGGCGCCACCAACCTCCGCAGGCCCTCTGGGGCTCCGCGACGACACGGGTGGCTCGCGGCAGTCGCCTTACCCGCGCTTTCCTCTACGGATCAGCGTGCCAACGAGTGCCAACTGCCACCGGGATCGTCCAAGGAGGTCAGGTGAGCACCTCATCCGTACCATTCGCGACACGAGGTCCATTATAACCTCGGCCACGACTCTCCGCCCTTTGATTCGCCGCTCGCGCCTTCTCTTTTCAAATTGCGTGTACCGGCGCGGATGATCATCAACTACGGGAAGTCCAGCCTTCGCTCGCGAGCCAATCGAAGAACAAATACAATCTAAGCATCGAAAGTAGCCACTTCCTGTAGCCACTAGTGCATCTCTTACATACGTACACTCGCACTGGTATTGGAGTTGTGGTTGATCTTAGCCAGATCTCGGGCCATGAATGTCGTGTCTAACATTTCGATTCGAAACTCTGCTAATAATTAATTAATAGTAAGTAGATTGCGAGATTCGACAACGGGCATTGATTTTTTTTAAGACAAAAATAAGTTTGAACGCGTATGAGAGAGAATAGGAGAGACGAGCTACATTTTAAATATAAAAAGGGAATTAATGCGCTCGAGGGATGATAAAATTTGCACTCAATTTTCTTTCAGCTTTTGCTTTGATATGAGCGATTCGACATATTTCTGAGCTTCGAAACTAGCAATAATTATTTATATTACGTCTTCTCGTCGCAGCTTGAAAACACCTAAAAATCTTAAATTAAATTCTCTACAATAATAGCTTTGCTAATAAAAATTTTTATAAATATTTGACGAGTTGTTTTTTTTTTTTTTTTTTTTTTTTTCATCCTTCCGTTTAAGTGTTATTAATAAAATTGATGAACTTTTTACGAGCGCTTGGAAAATTAATGCTTTCATTAAGTAATTCCACTTAATTGGACTGCTAAAACGGGGTACGAAATAATACATTACGATAATTGAATTGATAATGGAATATCTCTATTTAATATTGGCTAAATATTTGTACAATCAAAGCTCCCCGTGCAATTATTATAATTATTACAATTATTATATGATCCATAATCGTCAAAATTATAATATAATAATTTCATAAATTGCTCACCTAAATTATAAATATATCTTAAAGAAAGTAATACGTAAAAGCTTTGGCTAAAGGTTATGGAAAAAATTCTTTAAGCAACGTGTTAAGGTGATTTAAGCATTTTTTTGAGAAACAATCGTTTATTATTCGATAAGTTGCATTTTAACACTTAAGGGCCTTATTGACAGAATTTGGTTAGAACATATAGAGTTTTATTATGTAAAACCATGCGAATATGTTAAATTTAATATTGTACATCGACCATCTGCCTCTTCCTTCATCTCCAGTGTACGAAATGTAATAGGATCTCGGTCAAAGCAAACTGCTCCCTATCTAAATTAATTTTAATAAAAGTTCGGTGAAATCAAAACTTCGTAAAAATCATCATATTCAGGCTCTCAAATGTCTACTAATATTTTCCAATATTAAATTTATGATATTACAAGTCGTGTATTTATAAGAAATTAACATTAAATAGATAGAACATTTTAAAATTAAATTATCAACAATATTCATGCTATAGTTTCATATATGTTGGGAAAAAATTCTCGCCAATTATATTTTGTTTATAATGTAAATTTACTACTTTGCATTATCTGTATTTCCATATATACTCTAATATTAATGACATATTAAATAAAATGTCATCTACTCTGAAATAATGCGATACAATAATAACAATCGAACATATTATCGTAATGTATTCGTTAAACTATTATTAAATTGTTTGCATTAAAGTGCAAATTATTCCAAGGGAGCATCGACGGGTGCGATTTATTAATAAGGCTTAATTTGTTGATTAATTCGATATTACATGGCTCGATTCTCTACCTCATACTTTCATATTAACATTACCGTTATTCAATATGAATTTGCATAATAAATGAACGCCATGAATGTTTATTGGAAAAGCAAGTATTTTCATTATCTTTCGAGCTCGGGCGATCAATATACGAAAAACGAATTTATTTATAAAAATAAGTTAACAATTTTGGTGTAACTAGAAATTACATTCATTATAATACAACTGATATTGCAAAATTTAATGCTTCATCGTTAATTGAATTACACATTGGTTACTATTGAATTTTCTTTCTTTATCAAATTGTGAAATAACTTAAGCAATAACATACAGTTATATAATGAGTTATTGCGTTGACAAATATTTATCCACTTCGTTCGCCGCTGTATACATAAATTTTTTCTTATGTAAAAATTATCGCTTGCCAATACATGGTAATTTCAACATTTAAATAAACGACGTCTCGATATCATTGATGATAACTCAGCTTTATTCAAACAATCATTTGTAATCATCCGATATGTAGTTTGATCGTTAGAATGGTCATTGCAAGCATGAAAATAAGGCATAGTCATGCACTATTAACGAAGTAATGTTGAATTCCAATATAATGAGCAACAGTTGTAAAGTTCTTCGACACGAATGATCATTTAGTTTTGAAATTTAAGGAACTAATCTTACGCGAGCAATGCGCACCGACTATTCGGACAAATGTGATATGCACAAGATTTCCCCTCCCGCCCCGCTCCCGTAACACACCATTTGTCGATAAAAAAAGACTATGTCGCACAATACCACCGACCGTAAAATGGATGGGCTCGATTGAGTTCGTCGAAAGGATTTATGCGAACAATCTTGGCAAGTCTCCTGTCAATGTCATTGTTGCGCCCTCGAATTCACCGATCTCATAATCGTCGCGAGCTCATGTCCTTCCACGCTGTTATTATCGCGCTCAATTTGCCCCGCACAATGCTCCTAAATCCACCGACTCGTAAATTTTTCGGAACACTCTCTCTCTCTCTCTCTCTCTCTCTCTCTCTCTCTCTCTCTCTGTATGTCAGTCTAACTCCCTCTCGCTTCCTCTCTGTATGTCTCTTACGTACAAGCACGCTCGCTTGGCCTCTTCATGTCAACATCGATCAGCAGGAGCAGACAGCAGCGCAATTAACGGAGGTCTCCGCGGGCGGAGCTCGTCGGCAGCCGTCATAAGGGAGCAAAAGGAGCCGCGCAGACAGGAGGAGGATAATGCGGCCAACCATCTCCCACGCCCCACACCAACGCCAAGCGTTATAATAGACGTAAATAGAATAGGAGAGAGCGTGGAGCCATAGGGGAAAATCGAATGGGCGTCGTTTGCAGAATCGCGATATTGAAAAGCCGTCCCCTCCTCCCCCATCCCTCCCTTTTTTTTTTTTTAACGGATGATTACTCGCTACCATATTCCCGCATGAGTCCCCTACAAGTGTACTACGCGAGATCCTTTATATTAACGGCCGGAGCTTACAAAGTCTTCTCGTAGCCGAGCCGTTGCTACGGGATAACCAAGGCGAATAATGCGCCTTGCGAATTTCACTTTGACCTTGTATAGTGGTAATTGTGCATTGTTTTGACATGCAGCTCGGCTCTGCTCGCGTGCGCGTCTCTCTGCGTCACTTACGAAAAATTGATCGAGCAATAATATGCTAATGCTGCATTGTCGATTGCAATGTTCGTTAGGTAGGTAGGGCCGGTGCTGCCTCCATTCGCGATACATTGCTCGAGTGAGCTTGAATGCATAATTACTCCTTACGTTGCAATAGCTCGCGTAGCTACAATATACTTGTAGCGAATGATCGATCGCTATTGATTTACGATTAACGTATAATTAATTCCAAATTTCGTATACAATGTAACGTGTATAATTCCCGTGCGCCCGTCCGCGAGTCTATTAACCAAGTGCGCCGTTAAAGCGAATAATAAGCGAATAATAATTAAGTTTACACTCGAAGTAAAAGAAAAAGGCAAGTTGAGTCACATGCCATCAACATTTAAATGTCTATATAAAGTTTCACGACCTAACGAATTATAAATCCAGATTCGTATGTTAATGGATTTAAATACATATCCAACTACTTTCCGCATAGCATTTTGTAACAGTGTTTTATAAATTAGTGTTTTAGTAATTCTCTTCGTGCCATTATAATGGCGTCTGAATATCATTGAATACGGAATACGATAGATTAGTACAGGACTACCCAATGATTTATAGAGAAACGCGAATGATTCCAAGCGACAGGCCACGTGTTACCAATAAAATATCCTATAGGTGCTGGATTAAAATGTGTTCCGAAATTAAATTAAATTAAATTATATAAAAACAATTACGGACGTTCAAATAATGTCAACAAAATTTTACGGTAAATATAGCGTCCACGTCAAATATAAGAAACGTGCAGATCTCATTGAATATCTATCGCTTATTTCAATAATGTGATATTACTTAAATTTAATAATGGATCGATTGGTCGATCGTTAATTGAATCGTTAAATAAATAAATCATAAGACTTGCTTTAAACCGCGGTAATAAGAGAAAAATCTCGAACTACGATGTTATCGTAATTATTGCAGTTGTGAGTAGGAGAGAGACGGGCAAGCTAATGCCAGGGATTAAGGACTCTCGTGTTTGGCAAAGGTAATGGAGAAAAACAATAATAAGCTCGTGCATTGAGCGTTTACGCAGGCAGACTCTTTCCATCGGTCGGTCAAACATTTAAAATCCGAGCAAACACGCCTGCGAATAATTCGAGATCCCAGCAGCCGTAAAATCGGGTCGATGAGGCGACCTTGGCCCTCGACGCCAGGATCTTGCCGCAATGCCGATCTCCCCGACGTCGACGCTGCAGAAGGGCTTGCTGATGCTGAGCCTCGTCGTCGCATTGCTGTTCCTCTGCGCCCTTGGACGACGTCGTCTCGAGAGCTCGAAGGCACGCAGCGGCCTCATCGTCGAGATCCTCGCGAACGTGAGCGAGGGCCTCGATCGCCTGGAGGTGGGCCTCGAAGACATCTCGAAGCGCGCCTCCGCTGCTAAAGCGAGGCTACGACGACTGGTGGCCACCCGGAGGAGGCAGAACCTCCTCGCGTGCGCTCTTTTGCAGCGTAAGAGCAGCAACTCGAAAAGCTCGACGACCAGCACCGTAGCCAGCTCCAACCGACGGTAACCTCCGAAATCTCTCTCTCTCTCTCTCGAACGCGCGCACACACGCATACACCTCACCTTCCTCCTCCTCCCCCCCCCTCTCATCACCGCTCCTCTATCCATACCGTTTATTGCAATATTTATAATCGTCGATTTTCCCAAGATTTTACACCGTTTGCCCTGCATTTTAATGGCGACTGGCTGATATTCAATGAATTCGAATTATATATCCGTATATTTGTGAAAAGGATTTCCAGTTTTTTTATTTAACAAATTTTTTATAATACTATTAGTTTCTTATTTTTTTTTTTATTTTTTTTTTTAAATTTTTTATAATACTATTAGTTTCTTATTTTTTTTTTTTTATTTTTTATTTTTTTTTTTAATAAATTTAATAAATTTAATAAAATCAATTATTTTCTTTAAATGACTGTACTAAAAATAGTATCAAAGTCCTACCGACACTTTATAACTTCTTGAGAGAAATACATCGAAAGTAAATACAGCCAATACATCAGATATGCCTGAAATAATGATTGATATGTAAATTATTGCTAAAAATCTACTTAAATTTTCAGGAAGCAATTGTTTATTTAAAGCAATATTTCGAAAGCAATGTTCGCAGTTGGAATAGAGTTTAAAAATTATAAATTTCCGTTGAGATTTATCTTGACGTTAAATCTATATAATTTTCAAACAATTTTTAAGCGTTTTTATTCAATTATTTAATATGCGATTGATATAAAGATACAAAGAAAAATATTGCTGTATTCGATGTGCTCTGTCTAAAAAGATTAATGAGTAATGTTTTTTTTTTTTTTTTTTTTTTTTTTTTTTTTTTTTTTTAAGTAGATGTTTTAAGTAGATAGACAAGTAAGGTTTTCTGAGCCTTTATAATTCTAATTCTATATTCTATAAATTTATATATCTATTTTATTATTTATTTCTAAGATATTAATGTGTTATGCATGATTTAAATAATGCATAAATCGCACACGTAAAAAAAACTTGCAATAAACGGAAAGAGTAATTCCTTTTCTTTAGGATTTTAAGTGTTATCTTATCTATTACCCATTCTAATAAAAAAAAAATTTCGGAGCCAATAATATTTGGAAAAACACAAGACAACTAGAACTGCACTCTATAAGTTATTGATTTTAATTAAATTCGAAACATATTTAATTAATTGAAGTAAATTGAAAAATTTTTACAATTGTTTCAGTTATAAAATATTTTTTCTATAATTCATAATTATCTATAAAATATACGTATTTCTTTTTTCTTTTATTGCTCCTTTTTTTTCATTTATTAAAAATGATTTATTTTCAGATAAATCATGCGAATTGGAAAATATTTATGAAAATATATATTTATATTATTATAAGTAAAATGTGCAAAGAGAAAATTTGATAAGATAGCCAGATCTTTAATATATTCACTACTGACATAAACTCACCCATTTAAAGTGTAATATAAAATATAATTTCCAGTTTGAAAATTTATTTACTTACATGTTTGAATAAGTATTAAAAAAAAAAAAAAAAAAAAAAAAAAAAAAAAAAAAAAAAAAAACCGTACTAGTACTTATAGAAAGTAATATTAATGATGTAATAACTAAATATTTATTTTTGAAAATATATTTTACAACATTATTTTGTAGATTTTTTTTAATTTTATTAATAGTACATCATTTTTATAATTAATAATAAGTCTTTGAAATAAATATTCGATGTTAATTATGTTAATAAAAAGTTTATTTATGCTGGATAATTGTATTTAAGACTTAATTTAAGACAAAAGTAATAATAGTTGAATTTTTTTTTTAAATTTTGTCTGTTCAGTAATATTAACTTTAATAAAAGTACGATGATAATATTTATAATTGTACTTGTGATAAGTTACCTAAATTTTTTAATTTCAAACCTATCTTTATTGTTTCTGATAAGCATTACTTTTGTAAAAATTTATACTAAATCAAGCAGTATTGTGTATAATCCGGACAATTAGAGAACATTAGAATACTAAAAGAAAGGAAATACATTTAAATATCTCGTATCTGTAGAAATAAATAAAAACCAAGACTTGAAAGTAATGTAGTTCTTTTACCGGTGCTACGTAGGATAGTATAATAATTATTATTATTATTATTTAATGTTTATACGATTCAGCTGAAGAAACGTTGCTCGGCTAAATAATTAAAAAATATTTTTGACGAGTCAAGATTTAAGAATTACAATAGTTATAAATCTCCAATAAAAATATCGTCGATAAATATTTTTTTGTGCATTGTGCATTGGCACAATATAAACAATATGTATATATATATATATATATATATATATATATATATAAACTATATCACTTTGCATTCAGGAGACGTATTCACATATACATTAATACTTAATTTATTTATATATTTACAATTTTAAATATTAAAATATATTTATGCTTATGTACACCATGGATACTCAAATTTTACGGATATCTAAATGTCAAAATGTTCTGAATTTTCACTATACTTCATCTAATGAAATATAAGTGAACTATTGAATTTTATAATTATACACTATTTATTCTAAATATATACAGATTGATTGAGTAAATCATGAATAAGACAAATTATGAAAATTATATAATAATAAATGTCACAATATAAATAACAAGCTGATACTTTACATGCATTTTAATGATAAAATTTTACAAAAATAGAAACGAAGATGTTTTTTCTTTATTAATTATTAATATTTTACATTGAGCTTAAATCTATTATTCTATGTCACTGAATTAAATATAATGTCATGCGCACACGCAATTCAGTTAGCATGTATACATAACGTTTAACTTAACTATGATTAACGTGTTCTAACTCAAATATTGATATATATGGCATATTGTATAGAAATTCTTGATTATATAATTTCATATTCAAATTCCATCGAACAATTTATTAGTTAGTAATGTAAGGGTAATTCTATACTACAAATGAATATACTGAGCTACTTTAAATATAATATGACGCATTGTGAGAAAATGTATTAAGCTAAATACTAAAAATGAACTGTGAATATTTTATAATATGTCAATTGTATAATGAATTATTAATTGAAAGTAGCGAAACTCTCTTGGCTACAATTTTTACTTGAACTTAATATTAATAAACAAAATATACATCAACAGAGTGCAAGATTTTGGCTTAGAAAATGACATCGATTTATGTTTTAACTAAGGGAACGATATCAGTGTCTCTAAGACGTTAGAAAGGCGGTTGGGATTACTGAATAAAGAAGAAAACAAACGAAACACTGGGATGAGGAGAGAATTATAAAATGAAAGCCAAATGTTTTCGCATGAATTAAGAAAAGTTATTTTTCCACTGGAAATATGTAGTAGAAGATGCAAACAAAATAATTCCTGAGCGAATATTAATACATTGAGAGATAAGCGAGACGGACAATCATGTGGGACAAAAAGATATATTCTCCAGTCGGGGTCCAATCTTTGGAATTACATGTAGGAAAAAAAATTGTTATATATCATGTATTTCGCCATATTTATCATTCGAATTTTATGTATATAAATTATAGACAGATTTGAACGTTAAAAACAATAAAAAAAAAAAAAAAAAAAAAAAAAAAAAAAAAAAAAAAAAAGTTTAGGTAGTTAAGAATTATGAAAAATGAAAAAAAAAAAAAAAGAAAAATCAAATGGACGTAGCAATTCCGAGGGCACAACTCAAGTATTTTGAATGAAAGCAAGCTTATAATGACTTATAATGACTTATAATGACTAAGAATAAAGGTATGAGACAATTAATTATTTGTCATTATAATATAATCGAAGCGAAAAAATTATTCGTTTTTCAATGCTCACGATAAGGGAATTGTAATGATTTCTATTTTTAAAATAAGCACTACATTTAAACAAATATATATTTTACACTTTTGACATTATTTTATCGCTTGTATGAATTGTAAACTATGTAATACGTGTATATTGAGAAAAAAAAAAATAATAATAATAATAATAATAAATATCATGAATATAAAGTATCAAAATTTATTCATACGTATATCTAAAAAACATCTTTTACTTTTAATTAATAATATCATAATTTTACACAATTTCCACATAATTGATAGACATGGAAAATCAGTCGATGCATTATAATTTCAAAACTTTTATAAGCTAACAAGTTTTATTATTTTCACAATGTTTGTAATAATTTCATTCCAAGGTTTTGACGACGATTCATCGTCCACGTACGTTAAATTAAATTTTGAAATAGTGTTGAACATAAATAGTTCTGATCTATTCCAACACGTATGACAGTTGTTATTATCAAAGTAAATAATTAAATAAATTTAAATGACCGTATAAACAATGTGATATAAAGTTTTGATTAAATAGCGGCAAAGGTTATCACCTTTATGTGTCATTATTCTTAAGGAAAAATATTTACAATAAAAATTCAGTCCGATATCAAACGTATATTATTAATATTGATATGCATGCACGTATAATTATTAATATAATAAATATCTTAATACGGGGGCAGTGGATGGTGATGGCGATAGGTGGAGAGGGTAGGGATATTGGGGTGTGGTGGGGTGGGGGATAAGAAGAAGATGAAGAAGAAGTAAATGGAGAAAGGAAACCATTAACCTAATTATTATTCGCCCATTTATGCGTTAATCCATTTTTCTTTCTTATTGGCATTTTTATTTCTTATTAGCTAGTTAGAAATCTACGGATTGCTCGAATCTACGGCTCCCAATCCATCCATTCATTTCATTATTTCATTGTCCGCACATTATTTGCCCTCGCCAAAATGACTTTTATAGATTCTCGCCCATTCAACGGACCAACACTCGCTTTATCTATCCCAAACGACACGTAACGGCGAACGGCATTTCTCTCGCGTCAATTCGCTCGCCCAAACAAAAATGCTCGGAAACTGAAACTAACGGACTGACTAATCGCAAAATCTCGAGCACATCCACCCGGCCATCCCGGCCACCCCCCCACCCACATCC